GGACCCCGGGCGGTGCCCGGGCTGATGGCGAGCTGCGGACTGGACGGTGCGTTCCATATCGCATGGCCTGGAGCGACTCCTCGGGAAAGTATGAACACGGGAAGCTGCTTCTCATCGGTTTCATGGATTTCCATTTCAGAGACAGTATACACGTTCCACGGTTCTCAGGAACAAGCAGACTCACTTTATAATCACCTACAATGCTGTGAAGGTTGTCACTTTAAATGCTCAATAAGAAACTTGAAATAAAATCACAGTTCTTACGGGAGTACCTGTAACAATGTCTGTGTATACAGGAGTAATATTCTATATTTGATACAGTTTTGTTACAAAAAGGGTTTTAAGTGTTGACGATGGACAGGATAATGGATATCTTACAGGAGGCAAAAGGGATTCAGTAGCTATCCTAAAAGCACACCTGAAGTCTATTGTAGCAAGAAGGGTTTACAGGGAAAAAAGATGACCACTAGAACCACCCTACATATAAATGGAAATACAGATACATAATGGAAAAGGATGCATCCATCACATGTAATGCGTTGGGCAGGTTTGCTTAAGATGCTGTATCTGATGACATCTACAACGTGACAGCAATTAACCTTCCTTCAGAGCATGTTTCACTGGTCCAGCTGAGTAGAGGTTCAGTTAACTGGGGAGGGTCATTTCCATTCCTTGTATCATCGCAGCTGAGAAGAACGTTGTATTTTGATACAGTTTCCTGCATTGCTGGTAGAATTATACCTCCAGCAACAAAGACAGGTGTGCATGGATGGAGAAACCGACTACAGTGTAAATTCAAAAGTCTGGCTGGAAAGACAAAAGCAGTATGTTGTTAATCTGAGCTGGTATTTGTAGTCCAGTTTCTCTTGCTGGCTCTCTGCGGGTTACCTGTGCAGTGGTAGAGAAGTCATCATCCCATGGGACTGGTGCTCCGTTACATCCCCAGAGAATTTCAAGATGTACCCCACTCAGACTGCCAAAATTCGTAAGTTTTACAAAAGTAATGTTCAGGATTTAAGTTAAGCAAGCTGAAAATGAGAAGCAGGGCATGGAGTACCAGCTGTGGCACATGGTTGTGTCATCCCAGTGTAAGAGAGCAAGAAGAAAAATAACTTGGAAAATACATTTGCTGTCATGATGCTTTCACAACTACTTACACTACTTTGTGAGTCACCAGTACACACAGGCACGTTCTCTCTCTCTCTCTCTCCCTCTCTCTCTCTCTCTCTCCCTGCCTCCCCCCAAACACCTTTAATTTACAGACAGGCCAGCAGTGAGGAATGAAGGATGTGGGATGAACATACAGAGAACACATGGCAAAATGCTTTACAAGAGAACAAGAGCTATGTTCCCTAAACATCCAGGCCATACCTATAGTTTGGAAAAGAAAGGCAAATTCACACATTCATTTTTCCTAGTTTATGCCTTAGAGCCTGGCATCAATCTGTATTATTCTTGTCACTGTTGAAAACCTGGCTCTTAAGACCTTATGTAAGGTTCTGTGGGTGAAGAACTGCCAAAAGCATTACCACCTTTGTGAGCATAAATAATTGAAGTGTCAAATTTGTTTCAGAGAGAGGCTTGATCTACAACGCATGTGCAAGTCAGGATGTTTTGGATCCAGAAGTTTACATAGGCAAAACCAAAAACTGTAGGTCATACTGTGCTGTTGAGCATATACATCATTGTCAGCTGAAGCCCAGTTGTTGGTCCAGTTTGAAAAGAGACTGCTCTCCAGCAGAAAGCCAGGATAAGAGCTGTCATTCCCACTGAACTGATTTAATGGGGAGCAGTTAGTGCACTAGGAGGGGGCTGCTCCTCCCTCGAGGCTGCCTTCCCTGCAGGGCAGCAGAACTGTGGAGGGCTTTGCTGAGCCCATTCAGAGGTGCTTCTGGTCCAATGGCACAAAGGATTGAATGCCTCCCAGTTACCCACTTTGTCTGCACAGCTCCTCGATCCAGCTCCCGCAGGACCTGCCATGTGTTCTGCCGGGGTGACTCATGACAGAGCAGAGACAGCTACGAGATGAGTGGCAGGAGCGCACAAGGGAAGGAGTGCCCGAGCTGCAGCCGTGGAACACCGCACACGCTTAATGCCATCACAGTGCTGCCCTCCCGAGCTGCCCAGGGCGGTACGTGAGTAGCACATTCACGAGGATGGAACTGTGGCAAGGAAGGCTAAAGAGGAAAAGCCTGGATTTTAGGATTTAGCACAAGTACTTAGGCTGAAGCATCCTCCATGTTCTAAAGCAGAATTCTGCCAGATCAGTGCTGGGGATTTTTCAAGACGGACCCACCCAAGGCAGTGGAATAGTACTGTGACTGCCGTCTGGTCTAATGAGTTTTTAAGAACATAAAATAAAAGATTACTGAGTCAGATGAGCTTTTGTCTAACCCTGTAACCTCTCTCCAGCAGCTGAATTAATGCCTATTATCAGTAAATGCCCCACAGTCCCCAAACCCTGACAGAGATTATAAGAGCTTTCAAAAATAAATCTCACAGGGAAACAGCTAAGCTTCAATCACAGTTTTGGTGGGCTCTGATTTCATCCTCTCTCATCAGGAGAATTACAAAAGTTCATATAAAACACCACAGGGCTGAGTAAGTCAAATTTTAAGCAGGTTATATCCAGAACTGGCTACCCTAAGAGCATGAGGAATGGGAATAAAGATATGCTGGAAAGCTCCCAGCACCACTGCTGGTGCTGAAAGGTGGGTGCATGAAAGAGGAACGTCTCACGCCACCATCAGACAGCACCCAAATGAGGTAAAAGACTAAAACTTTGTTCTCCTAAAACCTAAAGGGTCTGATGAAACCTGTTTAGCTCAAGGATGTAAAGTCCTAACTGACTCCTCCAATTTCCACTGGATAGGACAGGTATTTGTGGTGGGTCTTCCATTGATAAGTGAGGAAATATCAAAGTCTCGTTCTTGAATGAGACACCACATTTTGTAATTGTGGCTCTGACTGTACCAGGGATTACAATAAAGATGTGACAGTCACTGCAGGTAGAATTGCTTGCTCGCTGCTCCACTGTCTGGCAAAGGGTTTCTTCTCCAGCCCCAGCCATGTCAATGATTTCCACATGCATGTCTGTCTGCTTGATATTGAGCAGAGACCTTGGAGGCATGTAGGTGTGCGCAAAGAGCAGAGTGTAGTGTCGCGGATGGCTTGAGGACGCTGGAGAATGGATGAGCTGCTCCAAGTGAAACAAACAGGGAATGAGCCCTCCCTGGTGTAAACATCCAAAGAGAAGTGCCCCCAGAAGGTTGAACAGAACAATGAGGAGTTTCCATTTTACAGCTCTGTTTGGTGACGCGCTGAGCAGGACCAATGGCAGGATGAGAGGGATGAGAAACCGAGGCTCCTGGTGACTGAACAGAGAGAGAAATGCCAAAGGAACAAAATAAAACAGCAGCAGTGTTGGACTTCCCTCAGAATACAACAACCCAGGAGGCCCACGGTAGCACCATCTGACCAGCATTAACTGATGGATGTATTTCTTTAGCATTTTAAAGCCCGCACCAATGGCCAGAATATGTAAGATCCCAAACAGCATTACTCCGTTGACTGTAAAATGTGTAACTCGCGGGTGAGTTCCATGCAGTGCAAGATTATGAGGATTAAGATTATAGCTGAGAAAATTGAAGGGGGTTACTACCATTTTGTCATGTAATTGAACTATTACATCAAATAGGCTGCTCTTGTTAGTGCTGTAGAGGTTGTCTAAGCTCACGGAGGTAAAATAGAAGGTGTCAGCAGTTATGAAAACAAAAGCGGTAAAACATGCACATAGGATAAACTTCAAAAAGTGATTTATGAGAGTTTTAATGCTCTTCTGAGAGTCAACAATTAAACCGGCCCAGTAAAGCAGGGGCATTAGAGCAAATGCCAGAAAGGTTGGCCTGTTGAAAAACCCAGCAGTTGTTATGACCCCTATGAGAGAGCTGCTTGTAGGCTCTGCTGAGCTGCCACTAGGCTTCTTTGAAGAAACCAGTACCATGAGAAGAGCAAAGAGAAGTCCTTCGAGTGTGTTGGTAAACGTTCTTGTATAAAACACCAGCGTGACATATGATCCAGCGAGAAGTACCAGCGCTTTCCACGGATCTGCTCCCCAGAAAGAGGCCAATCGATAAACACTATAGTCGAGTATGAAAGAAAAGATTGTAAAGAGCAGGCGAGGAGATACAAGGAGAGTGTAGCTGTTGATGCAACTTGAACATATGTCCAACTGCTGCAAAGACTTGATCAGCCAGTACGTAATTCCTGATGTCATTAATGGGAAAACAACTGTTCTGCAAGGAGAGCTGGAAAGGAACTCCCATGGATAATAGACCTGTAGGTTTAAAATATCTCCTACAAAGGAAGAGAAAAATACATACATAGATAATATATTTTATTCACTAATTCAGCATGAGGGATACTACTTAGTATAAGAGGTATCACACTACAGAGCAGCTCCTAAACTTTTGAAACTAGTGTCAACCTTGACATTTTTAGGAGAGTACCATTCATTTTTACAAAGCATCGAGATGCCTGTCACAGTGGTGTGGTTCGAGGCGCCACTCGCAGTGGACAGCACAGAGCAGGAACCCATCCACCCGGCCAGCCCTGCTGATCCTCTCCTGCCCGGCTTGCGGGACTCGCTGTGTGACAGAGAACACCCGCCTGGCCGGCGATGCGGGACACCGTGGTCGTGGCCGCGCCGCTGCGCATCCCCTCGAGCCCGTGCGGGGCCACCCCGTCCCGGGCGCACGCCTTACCTGCCATGACCTCGGGTGCCTGGAAGAACTCGTCGGGGTGCAGGTACCCTCTCTGCGGCAGGAGGCACCAGCCCG